AGTTCCCAACAAAACTGACTGGTACTGCTATTGACTTTTCTTAATAATACCAATGTCATAAGTGCTCCTGAATTAAGTGCTCCAGTATACAATACTTTAATCTTCATAACTGCGCTATTTACAGATGTACAGCACCACTTTTAGTCGATAAAGTTCATTAAGGTCTCATTAACTTAAACAACGACTAAATATTTGGCATATAAAACATTACTCATCATCATATTGGAGAAGGAAAGGAAGAAAAATAATTGAGCATTGGGAAAACGACACAGCAGCAAGCTCTAAACAGTCGTTTGAAATCCAGTAGCAGTAAAAGAACTTACCCTTTACACACCAAGTACCTTTTCAACCTTACTAACAATCATTCATTTCGACAGCATCACGTTCAAACTAGCATTTTTAAATTACATTTAAAACACAAGCAGAATCAGAACTGACAATTATGACTACAATTAATAGACTTATTAACGATACGATAAACTCATGATGACGATGACACAAGCAGTGAAACGCAAAAAAACATGACGCATTTTACTTGCACCTTAACACAGATAGCGGAGCGACTGTCTTTTCCTTGTTTAAACAACTAGTGTACATGACGACAAAATATACAAACAATAAGTTAGGTTGAATTAAACCACTATTCAAAACTGCCAGTCCATCTAGTGACCGGCACTCAACAGGAGCGTTTGAACAAATTAGGATAAAGGAAAAAAAGAACCACTTAATGCTGAAAACTGCTGAAAGACTTTATACAGCAATATTAATTATATAAAATTGTACAAACATCTAGTATATTCAATGTTCATAATTGTTAACCAAGTGACTGGGTGTATTCAGATATTGTTTCAAAAAATTTCCTTCTTTCCCTAACCGGTACTGCTAAAGACTTTTTTATTTCATCCGCCATTTGTTCGGTAACATCCACCGATAGCGGAACCGTTGGGCTAGTATGATATCGCGAGTCTAGAATACATTAAAAATCAGTTATCTTTATGCACTTGTATTGCCTTTTAACAAAAAGAAGCTGAAACAATCACAAACGGCCGTACTGGTAGGAGTAAACAACATTCGGAACTAAACGAAAACTGACTATTACGCCTCGATCCCGTCTTCGGACTGACTAACTGCTGCATTTTTCGTAGATGCGAGTTCTGCTGATTTACTGCAGCCGATGCCGTCTTTCGGGGTGAAGGTGACGTCATGCGTGGGGACAGCTTGAGCGATGCGGTTTGAAGAGATGTTCCGATTGCTATTCGTTGTTCGCGACCTTGCCCTCCTAGAAGAAAATCAAATTTAACTGTCACAACGACACAGTACAGAAACCACATAACCCATGCGTAAAATAAAAAAGGAAGAACTGTTAAATAGTAATGCCGGACCAAATCAGCAACTACTACATGCAAACGCTAGACTACCGTAGTAACTATGCCATAACTTCTGCGGTCCACATTTAAAAATAGATTTCAGAGTCGTCAAAGTAAAAAACGACATGAATTCGGGAAAAAAAAATGCATTGCCCGTTTCAAATTATCCCGTCTTTTAAACAGAAAGAAAAAATCTTGCTTGAGTACCTCTAAATTCTTTCAATTTCACTTCCTAAAAGTTCAAAAGGAGAAAAGGACATGCAATGCAATGCAGCCAGATTAGTGAATCTACAGATGCTCAACTAAGCACCCAAAATCAATCACATCACAAACACTAATGCTTCGCAAAACTTAGTACTCGTGATACTATCAGTTTTAAAATTACTCGCATGCATTTCGGTTATGGCAGGCTACTGACAGTGAAGAATGCAAGGTAAAGTTTAGTTAGCCACGACACTACGGTAAGCAACATGGGTAAATTCGCAAAAGACAATAAGACAAAAAATTGGGACAAACTCTACTCAATCTCTGAGAAATTATTTTTGTAGTTAAGGACCAAAAAACTAATTAGCTTTACTGCACTACACAAAACTGTTAGTAACAAAAACAAATTCTGAGTGAGTTGACAATTCACAGTCTAACTTTCTAAAATAGATTTTTTTAATCCCAACGAGGTGAAAAAGTTAGATATCTGGGTTTTAATGACAGAGAGGGAATTGAAAATTTAAGCCGCCTTAGAAGCCGACTCATACGAAGAACACAAAGACCATGACATCACTAGCAGGAAGTTTGGGCAGGCTTACCGATTCCTTTGGGTAGAAAGCTCTGCAAAATCTTCTCTTAAACGCACATGAGAAATAGTCGTCTTCTTTAAAAATGTCGGCAAGAAATAACTGTTTTTAAAAAGCACAACTTTAAGCTATAAACATAACGTCCTACGCAGAAATACCATATTTGGGAAACTTTGCCGGCTAATAAATGTTACATTGATTAGATTATTTAGGAAACAAATTAGAAAAGCAAAGATATTCCGCAAGAGCAGACAAGATAAACAAGTGATTGCCATTCTGCGTGAAGCTTTTGTAGTTCTAATGAGCAGTTTTCTAATGCTATATACCTCGCAATAATAAAAAAAAACCCATTTTAAGTGCGGTTTTTATTATAGCTATGTTTTCCAACTCTTACTTCGCATAATTAATGTAGGAAATTTTAAAAAAATCAACATATATTACTGCAGTCCTCTTAGTAACAAATGCAAAAATATACCAATTTTGTCTTTGCTATCCCCGCCCGTGAACTCCTCTAGCCTCTTTTCCAGTTCATGTAACTGCTGATAAAGTTCTTCAATTGTTGCTTCCTTCTGCTTTAATTCTCGTAAAAGCCGTTTATTCTGAGCTTCGGCATCACTAAAAGCAATCAAAACTAATTATACAAAACCTTTACAAATCTATTTATTAATACGCTTAAGAAAACCTTACCTTGTAGACGCCTGGTTCTCTTTATCAGCTAGCAGCACTGACATTTTCTCATCCAGCTGTGAGTTCTCAACACATTTCGCAGAATAGAGCGCTGAGAGCTGCGCAAGCTCTGCACTCATCTGTTCCAGCATCTTACTAAAAAAATTCTACTTAAAGAAACCAAGACTACAATATAAAATTCCACAATTTCACAAATAAAGATTTTTTACTTTTGCCGAGCTGCTTGAGCCTCGTAACGGGATTCACTCGCAGATGCTTGACAAGTAGCTAGGTTAGCGCTCAGAGACCTAATTTTTTCAGCCATACTTTTGACTTCCATGTCATGTGACCGCTGCACAGCATCTAATGCCATTCTGAAAAACTATCTCCAAAGTGCTGACTGTTTCAAAAATTGTGAACTAGACTGACGTCGGCATAAAGCAAAGCCAAAATAATAACGTAAAGCGATCGCAAAAAATTGGTTTCAAATAAGCTTAATTTCCACGCAGACCCAATCATTTTTAAAAAAACACACTGCAATACCGTGTTGCTTCCTTCTCTTCCTGCAGTTCAGCAGCGTGTTCCTCCTTTAAGAAGTTCAATTCCTGTTCAAATCTAGTTTGCTGTTCTGACAATAACTCCTCTTGACCCTTCTTTAAAGCCTGTATAGAGTGTTCGTTTACAGCCTAAAAACAAAAAATAATTAGAGAACAAATAATTATCTTAAAAAATTTAAAAATTTAGAAGACTAACATTCAAAGTCTGAAGCTCATCTTGGGCCTTCCGCCTTCTCTGCTCCTCGTATTCAACACGATCACGTAAGGATTTCAACTGTCTTTCATAATGAAGCTTTAAAGATTCCAGTTCTTCAGCATGACATGTCTAGAAAAGTCAACAATGATGAAAAAATATAAACTAACATCTATTATTCAAAAGAAAACACTTTTCAATAACAAAAAAATCATTTTTTTTACTTGTAAGTCTGTAATCCTGTCCTGCTCAAGGTCGGGGTTATCATTTTCAAATACGGTACTACCTACCAGATCACTTCTCCCCTGAAATCATATACCAAACCTTTTTATCGTAGCAGTAACCCAATAAACAGTATTAAATTTCAAAAATTTTCATATTACGTACTACTGTTCCATTTGTTAACATGTTAGTGAAACAAAATTTCTGCTGCCAAATTAGGCAAGAACTAACCATCGTAGTCTCCTGGTCTCTCATCTTCGGACGCTGAAGATTAAGTGCGTTACCAAGCTAAAATTACTATTTGAGAAAATGAGACGTAAATAGCAACCAAAGGAATTACAATATAACTCTAGGCAAATAAATCAAGACTTGAATGACGGTAAGAAACTTGTAGTACCGGTCCTTTAAGACTCAAAAGAAAGCAAAATTTGATGGTCGGCTTAAGCCAGTGTCTTTTTCAATAACAAGGTCAGAAGAAAGAATAGGATCATATGTTCAAGATGAGCACTTAACTCCAAAGTTCATAAATTACTTAAAACTTTTAAACTCTTATTCAAGACTAAATAACAACTAGTCATAAAATAGCTAAAAAAAAAAAACAGAGAGTAACAATAACAAAAAGACTGAGAAGGAAATAAAGCGAGACCTGTTTGTATGCATCCGATACTTGTTCAATTACATCTTCCAAACGTTTCAGATCTCTATTTTCAGAACTCGTCGAAGTTGGCGTCGTTTTTTCATCGCCAAAAGCAGCAACTGCGCGAACAATACGATCCGTGGTCTGCCGTAAATTTGAAAACTCTTTCGCATCAGGATTTGAATAAAGAATTTTTGATAACGCACCAATTTGCACTTTTAATAAAGCAACAAAGCGTTCAATAATCCTCCTGACACTGCAATAACAACAAAGAATTCTTTTTCAAGCAGCCAATATTCTTCGATAACGGAAAAAGCAACTCATTTTTTAAAACAGTCAAACAACCATCATAATAAAACCGGAAAAGAAGATTCAAATTTTGATGCACCTGTGTGAAACTGTCAGCCGAGATGATCTTCTCCGCTGACCCATTTTTTCCCAAAAAATTTGTTAGTTTTATAAAACTGTTAACAAAGTAACAACATATTCAGCAGTAAACTTATTAGTATAACCAAAAACAACCGTCTAACTTCTTTGAACAGCTAATAATGCATCAAAACCCCACGAATCCTTTGGTAACAAGATGATAATAGTTGCGGATTTCAGAATGCGACAGTAAAGCAAATTTACCAGTTAGCTGCATCATTATCAACTTCTGTTGGAGTAATAAGCTGTTTCCGTAACGATTCCATCTCTGCCTGCTTCTTGATAACATCTTGTTCAGCAACTGTTAGGCTTTTCCGAAGTTGTGACAAACCTCTAGGCTAAAATCAAAAATTTCAGTCTAATATAAAGCTGAGGAAGTACTTGCAAAGAAAAAAACCTCAGAAATGTATTTTAATTGATTCATTTGTTGAAACCTATGAATTGGCATTTAGTGAACCGGAAATGAGAACAACAACAAGAAAAAACAGCACTGAAAAACACAGCAAGTGGAAGTATAATTAACTAACATCATTACTCATAAACAGATACCGCAATCGTTCGTTCTCTGTTTGCGTCTCCCCCAACCGGCACGTGGTATCATGTAACTGATCTCGCAGTGTTTGCACCTATATATGTTATAAAATTCCAGAGTCAAACAGTATATAAAATCATTTTAAAAAATATTTTTTAAACCATTTTTTCCTCATTAATGCGACTCCACAGGGCAGATAAAGATGCTACTTGAGAGCCCTTGACCCATCTTTAATTTTTCCCTTCTTTATAATCTAAAACCGACTCATCAGATTGG